CAAAAACCTATGCTAAGACCAAAACATTAAATAAGATAATTGTTGTATGATATAAAAGCATCATAAAATGAAAATTATAAAGACATTTCTAAAAAAACTTCACTTTCTTTGAAAGAAAAGTTCCATCTTAGTCTGAGTTTTAAATAGTACAAATCATATGTTCAATATGAAAACAGCTTGATCTATTGTTTATTTATTTACAAAAGCAAAAGAACAAAATTAGCAATTGATAAACTATATTTTAATTTATTGGTCCAAGCTAAGGTAATGTTAGTGTTTTCTCCTATTTTGTGTGTTTGAGCTTAAGAACAAAAAAAGTTGAACTTCACCAATTAATGTTTGCAGATTGCAAATCTATTAACCTTGTATTACCTACTAACAATGAGACAGATTTTCATCTCTGCTGAATTTTGTGTATTGTAAAAATGAGAAAAAGTGATAGCAAGTTAAACAAAACTACTATTTTAGTTATTTCATTGATTATTTGCTTTAAAAGTTCTTCTTCATTCGACCATGACATTTTACCAAGTAATAAACACGATCACTCTAGTTCTTCTGGTTACAATTGCAACATCACTACCCACATAACAAACTGCAGTCCTTACAAAATTTCAATGCCAAAATTTACTCGTTACAGGTATGTGGAGTTTTTAGGTTCTATTTTCATGAGTAATTGTGACTTGAAAACGAGCCCTGTAGAAAAACTGCAAATGACATGGCAACTTTTAAAACTTCAAGAAAACAAAATGAATGTGTTAAACACTTTGTATGACAAACGATCATATTTAATCGAACAAGATTCTGTTGACTACGGTGTTTATAAACTAAGACTGTCGGTCAGTGTTATTTTCCAAGATACGCACGTGCTAACTAAAACCAGTGAAAGTGAAGGTTATTTTGAAATAGTCAATATCAGAACTCAAACACTTATCTACGGTGGCTATTTACGGTCAGTCTATTACCAGTACGATGTACTTTACCAAGTCTCGACTTTCTTAGCTCCAGGAAGACTAGGAGATGGTAACACTGAGCATGTAGCTTACTTGTGGCAATGTCGGGACCAAGAACGATTTTGCCAAGAGTACTACACTGATAAAACAAGTAGAGTAATCGAAGGTCCATTTGCTTTAAGGAAGGGCGTGTTTTTTTCAAATAACAGTTTTAGAATCGTAAAAGCCTTTTGGTTCGATCTCTCGACTATGATCACGGTCATTCACGATACACACAAAACGTACCAGCGTCAAATCGAGTCACAAATGCTTTATATTACGGATATTCCTGGGGTTAACATTGGAATTAGTTGTTTGTTGAACTGTGGTGGCCGTGTATTCAGAACCAATCCACAAGAAATATTACATCTGGAAGCAAAATACAACGAATCGATAATTGAAACTTTGCCGAAACTTGAAACAAAATTGGAATGGCTTTATCAGGCTGAGCTCGACCACAAGCCAAATTTAGTTCCGACGGAAGCTAAATCTGATGACACTGCGACCAAAGAAACAGAGTTGAGAATTAAAAGAGGCTACTTGAAACCGAATACCTCTTACTTGTTTACAGTGAACTGGATATTCAATGGTTCTGCATTACAACAAGCGACCATCAAGATATTTACAAGTTCACTGCCTACGAATATTCTATGCACAACGAGTCTCGACAAAAATGATACTGAAGGATTTAAGTTTTACAGTATCTCCTGCACTCGCAATAACGATGCTCACGATGTGACTTCGGGGATGGTTGAGTTTTATAATAAGGACAAAGGGGACAAAAATGGTAGACATTTAGGATTTAGCCATACTGGAGTTATGAAAAATGTGTTATTCACAAGGGATAGACTCTTGGTGAGTGTTACAAACCTGTTTGGGACCTCCTTAAATAATATAGAAGTAAAATCTCAGCTAGAAGATTCAGGTAGTATAAAGGTTGTTGAATCCGAGTTAGAGTTTGAACATCAAATGGACTTGATATTCGGTCATCAAGGTGTATTCTATCATGAAGGTGATGGTATTTTTCGTATAAATTTAATATCTGCTTTCTGTGACCTGTTATCAAGCTCAAAATCTTTTTCCACACGATTTAAATTCAATCAAATCCATGCAATGCTCAATAAGTTGAATTCAGAATCAGTTACTTCTATTTCGGAGGCTATAATGCTTAACAATGTTTTATCTAATTTTGTCCAAGTTATACGTAACACAAAGCCTATTAGCCACTTCACAAGTGAAAGTCTTTATTTGATAACTAATTTGATGTGGACTATATCATCAATTGTCGAAAAAACTGTAACTTTCTCAAGTAGAGCTTCTTGTTTGACAACAAGTGAGAGGATATACAATTTAACTGATTCTTTACTTCAATACTCAAATTTTATCTTAGAGAGCAAAGAAAACTATAATTTGCTTGATTCCAACAACAGGAATAATCTGAAGAAAAGCATAAATAACGTTATTTTAACGCTACAAGATATACTTGATTCAATTGTAATACATCAGGCTTACGCAATTAATGATTTTAATATGGAGTCAGATCACATCAATTTTAAAGTTAAGCTATTGACAAACAGAGACTTTGAACTTAATAAAATATTCAGAGGCAATACTTCAATTTTGACTTTTTCACCATCCCCTAAAGCACATATGAATATCATTTCTTTTCAAATCAACCCGTTTTGGTGGAGCAATGGCTACAAAATAAATACCGATGTAAAAATTATTTATCTTTCAGAAAGCATTGATGAAACTATTGAAAGTTATTTTCCCGATAAAAAAATACCCTTTGAGTTGAAAATCCACGATCTCAAGCAATTCAATATTTCTGGTAAAGTTACGCAACCAAATAGCCTAGATGGGTCTGAAATAAACGATCAAAAAATTGCAACTCACAAAATTGGATCTGAAGCAAATTCTTTGACATTTATTAATTTTACATACATACAGAATGACACTGGGTTGAGGATTGGTATTCTACAAGGCTTGAGACCAGATTTTGAATATATGACTGGACCAGAGTCAAAACGGATCACAACAAACTCATCCATCATCAAATTCAGGATGGATGATTACGAAAAAGGAGAGTTTTTCTACATCGGTATTCTTCCAGAGAAAAATGTTAATGCAAATGAGACGGTTCATTACAATTTTACACTGTTTAGCACTGCTTGCAGGATCTGGAGGTATGATATTTGGACTTCCAGTCGGTGTTACATGGGACAAAAATCGAGTGAAGATTTGTTGATATGTGACTGTCCATTCACGAGTGAGATTGTTGGAGGACACGTTCACATACCCAATCATCAGTTCATCCCGTTTTTCGATTTTCCTCTTTCCATTTCTGAAAAGAAGTACCCTCTGGTAATCGTTGTTTTAGTCATCATTGTTGCCATCTATTTGATGTTACTCCTCTGGGTAAGAAGATTGGACAGAAGAGACAGACAGTTGATTAACATAGTTGTATTGGAAGACAACGATCCTGGAGATTCCTTCGCTTATCTCGTCGGAGTGTTCACAGGAGCAAGGATAGGAGCCGGAACCACATCCAACATCGGATTCAAACTGATCGGGGATAAAGGATTCAGTAAGCATCACATTTTGAATACCCTTCATCGCCCGATATTCAAGTGCAACTCGGAAAACTGGTTCCTCCTGTTCACTCTTCGTCATCTAGGAACGTTGACAGACATTTCAGTGTGGACCGATCACTCTGGCCGAAAGCCCAACTGGTACTGTAGTAAGATACTTGTTTTTGATATGTGTACTTACGAAAATGAATTTTTCTTTGTTGAATCGTGGTTTGGAACGAATACTCAAGAGTTTTGTCTTTCGAAATTTCAAGAATCCGCAACTTACAGTGAAACTAACAAATTTAGTAGATTATTGTCCGAGAATGTCCTGTATGGCTTCAGGGAGGCTCACTATTGGGCTAGTGTGTTTCTGAAGCACCCTCGCAGCCCAGTGACCAGAACCGAGCGGCTGACAGTGGTTGTTTGTGGGCTGCTCGTCAACACACTGGTGTGTGTTTTGCTTTACTACCCTCCTTCTCCCGAATCTATTGATTTCACTGTTTTCAACACAGTCAGAGACACAGTAACCATCGGAATGATCGGGAGTTTGTCAGAATGTGTTGTTTCCTTGGTCTTGATGCACCTCTTATACACCTGTTACTCAGTAACGGACGGTCCTCCCAACTTTTACACAGACAGATATTGCTGTGACATATATCACTTAGACCGAAAAATCAGCTTTTACAAGAGACCCCCTAAGTGGGTTTCATTCATCCAAACGTATGTAACTGATCACATCGGTACAATAAAGGCTCTCCCTTTACAAAGTATAAGAAATGCTCTTATCGGCATTGAAATAAAAGAGAAGCGGTTAAAAATAATCCTATTCCTGTGTGTCACAATAATGATTATATGCAGTCTTTTCATCATTACACTCAGTATACAATATAACGAAATCAAGACCATTCTGCTGTATGTAAGCATAGTTACATCTATTATTCTAACCAACATGATTATTTTACCGATCAAAATATTTATCACATCGATTTTATTAAGTTGTGCCAAGTCACGTTATTACGAGTTGATGACTTTTAGCATCGAGTTGAGGAGGATTTTATACGGGCTTAAACAAAAAAAAACAAAAATTTACAAAGATTATCTCACCAGGCAAAGGAGTCTCGACATGTATCGTCTTCCGTCAGACTTCAAGTTGAAAAGGTTAGCGGCTGAAAATGAAAAGTTTGTTAATGTACTAGCGACAATGTACATTATCAGTTCCTTTACATTCTTATTCGTCATTCTTTGGCTAATCCAGTTGTTCAATATTAAACTATTTTTCTTGGTTAACATGCAGGCTCTTTGTCGTGAATTCGGAACAAAAAATTTATGCGAAATCGTATTTCGTTATGATTTGGATAATATCGTTCAAATTTGGGATAGCCTGCCAGACAAAATCTTTCCCCTGCTGTACACCCAGAAATGGTACAACAAAGATAACATGTCACTGTCACAGGAGATATTTCACGAGACCGGGTGGCTGAAGAGTGGAAATTCTCGTCTGATCGGAGTCCCTCGCTTGAGACAGATTCGTGTAAAGCATGACCTGAGCAACCAATGCAAAGTACCAGAGATAATGCAAAACATATCTAGAGGATGTCACATGACACTGACGGAGGAGACAGAAGATCGACGGGACTACGGGACTGGGTGGAGCAACAACAGTCTCTACGATGTTGAATTGTTTGATTCATCACCTTGGGAGTACACAGCACCCTCGTGGGGGGGAAACTACATTGAAGGACCATCAGGGTATGAGTACCACAGCGGTGGTTACGTCGCCACCTTGCACCGAGACCTCATCAAAACTAAGGCCAGTTTGTCGAGCTTGTACGATACTAACTGGTTTGACGGGAACACGAGAGCACTAATAGTAGACTTCACATTGTACAATGTCAATAACGATGTGTTCACACTAACTACTATCGTAACAGAAATTCTTACAGTCGGCAGCGTGAAGGTCGAGTACTTTTTTAGTTCGACGAGGTTTTCTAACTTCCAAAAACCGATAGTACTGTTCGGTTTGACATTTCTCATCTTCTTTCTCCAGTTTGGTTTTTCCATAAACATAACGGGATTTAAAAGATTTTTAAGTAACTTTTGGAACATTTGTGACGCTTTGATTCTGATGGTATTCGTGTCGAGTACGTTGGTGTATTTCCGCTGGTTGCTGATAGTGTCCGACGGTAAAGACAAACTCTCCAAACAAGGGAAAGACGTTTATTTCTCACTCGCAGAGTACTTAAACTTCACAGGGGAAATTAGAGACGTAATAGGACTTTTGTTTTGCCTGATGTTGTTCAGACTGTTGAGAGTCGTTCGATTCAATGAAGACATTAAGGGTTATGTTTACGATTTGTGGGCATCAAGAACAGAAGTTATTTTTGCATGTTGGGCCACAGTGATATTCATGTTTGTCCAATTCAGACTCATCATGTTCCTCATCACTACACCGCAGGCGTACAGTGTCAAAGATGTTCTCATTTTCAAGTCTCAATTCAAAAGCATGGTGAGATACACGTACAATCAAATGACTGGAAAAGTGTTGGCTTACACTCTCAATTTCACCTCTCAGCTTGGAATCTTTACATTCATGCTTTCACAACATCATCACTTCAAGGAAGCTCAAGGAAAAACACGAGCCAAACAGAACGAGCGGAGAACGAGAAGAGCAGAAATACTTGGCCATTTAGTGTAAAATACAGACTAAAATTTCAGTGCAGCATAAAACTAGAACATGGATAGTTTTGTTTACATTATGTAAATTTCTTTGTTTCAGATGTAAATAGACAGAGTAAACATTATTCAATCAGATGATCTAATATTTTGTTCAATATATAGGTAAAGGTACTTGCATGTTTAGTTTTAAATGTAGGGAATTGAGTTTTGCTTATAAATTCTGCTATAAAATAAGTTTAATAATTTAGAGAAAACTTATTTTCTGGCTGAAGCAATTTTCAAAATTAAAATTGAAAAACAAAAACAATTAAAAGTACATGAGTATTGTCAGCTGTTTCAAAAGTCAAAAAAAATATTTTTGCCATAATAGCCTAAGTCAAATTGTTTTGTTTATAAGAAATCATGCAATGTATAACATGGTTGCAACATATAAAATGCAAATATATTTTAGTCACTAGAGGTAACATTAAAACTCATTGTTCAGATAATTTGTGTATGAGTAACAAACTTTTAGGACACATAACACTAGATGTTATGGAAGGGAACTGAAATGAAAATGTTGTCATAAAAAATGCCAACTCATAATCATTTAATCAGGTTTTAAAAAGTAATTACGATTACTCCGCTAACACCCATGATCACAGTCTGGTACAAAAGCATCAGACCAAGCTACAAAAATAGATGCATGTCAGCTTTAACTTTTTGATTGATTGATTCCTTTGGCCTGTCAACCTTCACCCAAACTGCAGAATCTGTCTAGGGGAGCGAGCTGGTATAGTGGTTAGATTGTGGGACTTATGTCCCTGAGGTCCCGGGTTCAAATCCTGCCAAATTTCCAATGGATATTATATAATTTATAATGCCGCAACCCCTATGTCTAGCCTGAAGCAATGTGAAAAACAATCACTCTCCAGTTGCTTCTTGTTTGCCTTGGATTTAGATCTTCCCACGAGTAAAACTCCTGAATAAAATATCAATATTTTCACAAATTTCAGCCTCTGAACCATTTTCATACCAAAAAAGAACAAAATACCCGGATAAGTGGCAGGTGATCCTAGTTTTGGCTAAACACTGGTTTTGAACCCTGAGGTTAGTTTTTACTTTCTCCCCCTATACCATAGTATATGGAGAAAGTATTGTTTTCATCAAAATTTTCGATTTTGAGTGGATATATTCGTTTTGGGTCCCCCTGGACCCAAAAAGGTGGTTTTCGAAGTGATGTCTGTGTGTGTGTGTGTGTGTGTCTGGATGTGTACAGAGCTAGAGACTACACCTGTGGTCCGATTTCGATGAAATTTGGTATGTAGGTTCTAATCCATGGTATCTCCAGGCGTTTTTTTTTTAATTTTTTTGAAATTTTGATTTTTAATGGGGATTTTCCCATAAAAAACTGGAAAAATCGGATTTTCTCAAAAATGGCCAAAACGATTTTGATAAAAATTTAGTATGTTGTAGCCCTTAAAATTCTGGATAAAATGGTACAAATCCCATTTCTGTAAAAATTATGGTTCAAAAGTTATGGTAAATTATGTTATTTTCCCATAAAATAACAAAAAGTAGGATTTTAGACAAAAATCCGGTTTTGATTTAACATAGTATGTTATGGTCCTTACAATTTTGATAGTTTTTTTCATTTTTTTAGAAATTTTTATTTTTAATGGGGATTTCCCCATAAAACCCCATAAAATAACGGAAAAATAGCATTTTCCAAAAAATGGCCTGAACAATTTTGATAAAAATTTAGTATGTTATAGTCCTTTATATTCTGAACAAAATGGTACAAATCCCATTTCTGTAAAAATTACGGTTAAAAAGTTATTGTAAATTATGTTAATTTCCCATAAAATAACGGAAAATCGGATTTTCCCAAAATTGGCTCGAACAATTTTGATAAAAATTTAGTATGTTATAGTCCTTTATATTCTGAACAAAATGGTACAAATCCCATTTCTGTAAAAATTATGGTTCAAAAGTTATTGTAAATTATGTTATTTTCTCATAAAATAACAGAAAAATCAGATTTTCTCAAAAATGGCCCAAACGATTTTGATAAAAATTTAGTATGTAGTCCTTTAAATTCTGAACAAAATTGTACAAATCCCATTTTCGTATATTTACACTAACCGCTTACACATGATAAAGGTTGTTGACAAACTTATGGGAGAAATTATGTGTTAGAATGCTAACCGTTTATTTAGTTAAAAATTTAACTATTGAATCCTTATTACACTTGGCATGGTTTTTATGACAAATTTTCTCACCCAATTTTGTTGTATTCAATAGGCTATGTGAAGGAAGGCCTACAATAGGACGAAATATCAATATACTCGTTTACTGTTATGTGATCTTTGAATCTCCCAAAAAACATCTTATAAAATGCTAATAGTCAAACACAAAATCTAACTCTAATTTTATATGTATATACTATGATACAATTTGTCCCTTAAAAACCCCTAGGCTACATTACTTTCCCCAAAAAACTATCCTGACAGAGCTCTTAATATTTTACTTTTCATCGAACAATTACTAAGTAACATACAATGATAAGGCTGATAAAATATGAGAGACAACAAAACTTTTCACAATAATAATATATTTACAAAACATCGCTATAAAATGCACCTTATGACTAGAATTCATCATCGCTAAAAGGGTGTTTTGTAAAATAACCGAGCCACTTGGGTACATGCACTAATAATGTCCGGGTACTTGTACTGGAACTTGTAATCCAACACTCTCTTCGGAACTACTTTCTGTCCCTGAGTCATGATCTTGGCTCGTTCTTCACCAAACATTGTGTTGACGATGAATTCCGGCAGTGGAATTAAAGATGGCCTCCACATCGCTTGGGCAAAGGCTGTCGTAAACTCTTGATTGGTGACAATCTGAAAAACATTCACTGTTGAATACTTGTTAGGTTAGATAAAGAATCAATACATTTGGCTTATTGTTTAGAAACAGTGAAAAGCTATTGTTAAGACTTATATGTACAAGAATCCCTCATTCATAAAGCAATCGTCTGGATAAAATGGAATATTTGTTACATAAATAAATACATTGCTTTGAAATAACATTGAAATAATTTACTTTGTCTTCATAGGTCGTTGATGACGTTTATTCACAAAAACCTCTTGTATCATTAGGGCAGTATTCAATGCGTTCAAAAATTACATCTAACAAATATCTCAGTAGACTTACCATAGGTGCAACACCATTTAAGACGCCTGTGACTTTTTCGTTCTCTATGGCAAAGAGTAGAAGATTGCACATGTCCTCAATATGTATCCATGGCATGTACTGAGTTCCGCTGGCTACAGGCCCTCCCACACCCATGAAGAACGGGAGAAACAGCTGTTGTATCATCCCTCCACTGCGGCCGAGAACCACACCTAAAACGATAAACCGTTTTTTCATGTTTCACGGTTTTAAAGTAGGCTCTAGTTCTGAACAGTTTACACATTACTTTAGGTTAGGTCAAGAGGATCGTGGCATTATCACATAGATGAAATCCATTGGTGATTAGCGGTATTTGAACAGAGGACTTTCGAGACCAGCTCTCTCTAAAACCCAGACTTAAATATCAGTCTCTGGTACATTACAAGGACTAATATATATTTATTTCTTGGCTATTGCATTGCAATGAGGATTTTTCATTTCAAATTTATGAAATAGGAGTTAAACTCGTGCAAACTTTTTATTGTTGCACGTGCTTTTTAAACTTTAACAGGAGCTTAAGATTAAACAGCTGGGATAGAGCTAGATGCATTAAGAGAAAGACACCTCCGGTCTCTTGGGTGGAAACATCAAGACAAAGATGGCTCGGACAAAAAGGAGAAATCATTCCAAGGAATATTCATGCAATAGCAGTAGAGGAAGGATAGAGGAAGACTTAGAAGCAGAAGGTTAAATGAGACAAACAGCAATGTGAAGAGAAGAGAAGGGAAATGAGAGAATTTGAAGGAAGAGAATCTATCGAGTTTGAAAAGAAATAAATAGACTTAGTAATTGTCCACACACAGGAGTAACCAGGTAGGAGGAAGATATATATATTTATAAAACTTGACACTGAAGTATAGATCAATATTTGCTTGGGTTTCATCCACAAGACATTCTAGTTTTGTACATACCTGATCTGACAATGACTCTTCTAACATCAGTGTCAGGCATCAGTGAAGCCTCTTCCCACTTCTGTGCCAAATCGGACAAGAAGTCAAACGGAGGACCAAGCGTCGAGTCTTCATCGTAGTCTACAGTAGCGTCGGGCTTATAAATACCTGCATCAAAACTACTGTGAGAAATCGAAAGGGATTAGTCAGTCAATGTTATGTTTTGTGTATAATGAGGATTAAGTGTAAAAGTTCAGTAATAGCAATTATATACCTATTGACGAAGGGACGTAACTGGGCAAGTTTCAAACCAAATATGGGTAAATGATGAGGGTGGAATGGAGTCAGAACCTTATTGGAAATGGAGGGATGGAGTAAGACATTGTGTACCTTTCTGAATCAGAATGAGAGAAGATACTTAAAACATTCTTTGTATCATTTTGAATTGTAGAAAAAGAGGATAGCAGCTAGCTTACCTTGAAAGTGTAGGTAGGCCATAGAACATGTAGAAAATACACTGTGCACACAATATTTCGTCCCTCAGCTGCTCTCATCCTTTTTCTACAATTCAAAATCCTGGCCTAGAGCCTTTCCTTGAACAAAACTATTCTTTGTGTCATGTTAGTCTCTTCATTTTTTATAAAGATCAGTCACTACACAATTAGCGTACATGATGAAGTAGCCACAGAGATTCTAGTATTTAAGTAAAAATTGTATGAGGAAAGTAATGCCCTTCGTTAGTGCCCACTGAGAATTCCTATGGAGTTAAAACCAGGAGTCAATTTTGAGAGCCTCTATGAAATTTCTGTGAGAAGACAATTAACAGCCTTCTACATATTGTTTGTATGTGTAGCCCAGCAAAAAAGATCTATTGTGAATCTTGTGATATTATGGAGAGAACGAGAAGGAAGGTTGTGTGCCTTGTACGTCTTGGACGATGCGGAAGGTGT